CCTCTCTCTCTCTCTCTCTCTCTCTCTCTCTCTCTCTCTCTCTCTCCTCTCTCTCTCGCTCTCTCTCTCTCTCTCTCCTCCTCCATCTCTCCCCCCCCTCTCTCCTCTCCTCTCTCTCCTCTCTCTCTCTCTCTCTCTCTCTCTCTCTCTCTCTCTCTCTTCTCTCTCTCTCTCTCTCTCTCTCTCCTCCTCCTCCCCCCCCCCTCCTCTCTCTCTCTCTCTCTCTCCTCTCTCTCCTCTCCTCTCTCTCTCTCTCTCTCTCTCTCTCTCTCTCTCTCTCTCTCTCTCTCTCTCCTCTCTTCTCTCCCTCTCTCTCTCTCTCTCTCTCTCTCTCTCTCTCTCTCTCTCTCTCTCTCTCTCTCTCTCTCTCTCTCTCTCTCTCTCTCTCTCTCCTCCTCCCTCTCCTCTCCCTCTCCCTCCCTCCCTCCCTCTCCTCTCTCTCTCTCTCTCCTCTCTCTCTCTCTCTCTCTCTCTCTCTCTCTCTCTCTTCTCTCTCTCTCTCTCTCTCCCCTCTCCTCTCCCTCTCCTCCCTCTCCTCCCTCTCCTCCTTCCCCCCTTCCCCCCCCCCCCCCTCTCTCTCTCTCTCTCTCTCTCTCTCTCTCTCTCTCTCTCTCTCTCTCTCTCTCTCTCTCTCTCTCTCTCTCTCTCTCTCTCCTCCCTCTCCTCCCTCTCCTCCCTCTCCCTCTCCTCCCTCTCCTCCCTCTCTCCTTCCCCCCTCCCCCCCCCTCCCCCCCTCTCTCTCTCTCTCTCTCTCTTCTCTCTCTCTCTCTCTCTCTATATATATATATATATTATATATATATATATATATGGTGTGTGTGTGTGTGTGTGTGTGTGTGTGTGTTGTGTGTTGTGGTGACATATAATAATATATATATATATATATATATAATATATGTATATATATATATATGTGTGTGTGTGTGTGTGTGTTGTGTTGGGGGTTGGTGTGTGTCTGTGTCTCTCTCTCTTCTCCTCTTCTCTCTCTCTCTCTCTCTCTCTCTCTCTTCTCTCTCTCTCTCGCTCTCTCTCTCTCTCTCTCTCTCTCTCTCTCTCTCTCTCTCTCTCTCTCTCTCTCTCTCCTCCCCTCCCCCCCCTCTCTCCTCTCCTCCTCTCTCTCTCTCTCTCTCTCTCTCTTCTCTCTCTCTCTCTATATATATATATATATATATATATATATATATATATATATATATTATATATATATATATATATAGTATCGTATTATATATTATATATATATATATATATATATATATATATATATATATATACATACATACATACACACCACATATATATATATATATAATATATATATATATATATATATATATATATATATATATATATCTCTTTCTCTCCCCCCCCCATCTCTCTCTCTCTCTCTCTCTCTCTCTCTCTCCTCTCTCTCTCTCTCTCTCTCTTCTCTCTCTCTCTCTCTCTCTCTCTCTCTTCTCTCTCTCTCTCCTTCTCGATCTGCCTTTCATACCATTCTTGACATACTTCTGTATTATGGAATTCATAGCGAAATCTTGATTAATTCTGCTTCGATTTGTCGGTGCCTTCGCCCCGGACAGTCATCCTACCTCGGTTAAACCTTACTTTGTCTCATACGCACGGTGATGGGCTAGTATTCCTTTCTTCCCACTTTTCCTCCTCCTCCTCTTCTTTTTTACAAATCTTTTTCGCTCTTCCTATTCCTTCCACCTCCCCTCTCTCCGTGGGCATGGCGGCAAGGATTGTGCCGGGCGACACTTCTTCAGTCAGTAAGTTTCTTGGCCTCTTACTTCACCTGTCCAACTGTCTTTAGATTAGGCTGTTGTTTTGGTTGGTTAGTTTGGGTGATGATGGCACCTACTTCCCCCGCCCCCCCCCCCCTTGTCGTAATAAGCTAAATTCCTGAATGTCATGATCGTTCGTGAATGTACACATATTACAGTGATGTAGGAATGAATATATGTATATTGTATTTTGATAGATCGTGTGCGTAAATACCAAGGCACACTTCTGTTTCGTTGTAGAATGAAGATAGAAATTGCGATTTGTACGAATAATTTCTTAAGAGATTACGAGACTGATACAACAACAAAGATGTACGTGTATAGATACAGAGGAAAATGAATAATCAAACGGCAAACTAAACTAAGGAATGGTTGTGGCTGTGACTACCGCATCAATGGACAGTTCGTTCTAAACAATTTATTGTCAATTTACTTCATTTCAGATTAAGAGGAGAAATGATACAGATTGCCTTGTTAATCACGAATTGGATATATCGTTAGATATTCTTTCAGCTGTGAATATTTTTTCCTTACGAATTCAGTAACTACATTGCTAATTGAAGATGCTATAATCAGGTGATCGACACTGCCATGGACAACCTCAGTTTGTGCCACGACCTCTTTACTTGCGCTGTCTTGCATCATCTTTGTACCCCCCCCCCCCCCCTTCGTGACCCGTAGGTGTTGTCATAGCCCGAGGAATGTTGTGGTGTGAGATAACACGTGTGTGGTGGCACCTCTGTTGTTAGTAGTGCAAGCTGGTGGTGGCGAGGGGACGTGACCCTCCGCAGGTGGAATCGTGCCACGTGAGAACTCCTCAGCGTGTTGGTTGATCGCAATACGATGGATGTTCCCGCATGCGTAGCCACCCCGGTAGCTCCTTGGCGATGTTCCGCAGGGTTTACTGGAGTTTAGATCTTGCATTCCGTGATGCTATTGTTTCCTTTTTTCATGATCTGTTCACGTTCACCTGCATCTTTTTAGCGACACTTCTTCCCTGTGACAACTGTGATTGATAGTCTGTCATGAATTTGAATGCGCCTGTATAGTGCATTTTCGATTTTTTGTCATATCTTCTCAAGTATGTGATTGCAAAATCCAAACAAACAAAACAATCGCATCCTGTGCATTGCATCTAACACCAAAAGTAGGTTCTCCAAAGACACCCTTTCTCTGACTGTCTTCGTTTCTTGGATCGGTTAGCTTTATAAACCACAAGAAATGTTATTAAGACTACAAAACAAATGTACGTTTAAGAAAAAGGACCTTAAACGACACAGGAGTTAGGCTAGCTTGAATGTATTCATGTGATTGATAGGAGAAAAAGAGAAAAGAAGAAAGAGAACGTTAATAGCAAATATCAGCAAAAGATGTATGTGATGATTTTATGAAATGGAAATAACAATGTTTTTTACAGTTCAATGTAGTCTCATTGAATTCAAAATTGATAAGGTTTGCAGAGTACCTTTGCAGGGTATCTAGCAAAGTAACAAAGAGCAGTAGTAATTTAAAAATCT